AGGCCCGAGGTTCTTTGGGTTCGAGAAGGTCTTTTTGTCTTTTTCGGCCTTTCGGGGGCCGTCTTCGGGCCCCCGGGAGTGTCGGAAACGGATCCGGGGCGAAGCGCTGCACCAGATGGATCCCGGGAGGGGTCCAGGGACCGTTTCGCGGATTTCGCCTCATCCCCCCCTCCGCGCCGATGCGGCGATCGTGCCATCGTCGCCGTCGCCGTCGCCGTCGTCGTCGTCCTCTTCCTCCTCTTCCTCCTCTTCCTCCTCCTCCTCCTCCTCCTCCTCCTCCTCCTCTTTGACAAGCTCTGACATGGTGGAGTCCCCTTCTCACCAGTTGGTGGAGCGCTGGCAGTTTTCAGTTGCACGGTGGCTGTTTCCCCACCTGGACCTCGGGACGGACGAAGGGGTCGTACGGGGCTGGGACGAGGATAAATCCGTTTAGAGCGTTCCAGAACGCTCTCAGAGCGTTCCGGAGCGCTCTGAGAAGGCGGCGGCGCCTGAGACATCCTCCAGATCCGGCGGACCTCAGAGATTCTCGAGTTATCCTTATCCGATTCTATCCTCGTCCTGGCTTCGTCTTAGGGGGGGAAGTTTGGGAAAAAGGGGGCTACACACCGTAGGCTCTGTGTCGACGTGGTGGCGACCCCAGGGAAGGCGTTCCAGGTGGAGCGCCGCTGGTGGGCAGGAATTGGCCGATATTGAGCGATCGGTGCTATCAGAAGGCCGCGATCGTTCTAGTAGGCAGGATCCACGCTGTGTCAGACACCAGCGCCGACGTCGTCACGACACGCTTGTGCTGGGCTTAGGTGCGCCTTGAGAGCGGAAATCTGGGCCATCCGCTTATCGCCGGAACGGGGAATACATAGTGGACGTAGGAGATGCGCTTCCCTCAACAAGATGGGCTGTCAGGAATCGCCGTTTTCAGAACGCAGCGCACATTTTTTGTACAGAGGGCCAGCCTACAGAGCTGACACTGGAGATTTGTACCTGCCACCTCTTCCTCTGAACCAAAAAGGCTTCTGACAACATGTGTGAAAATCCTGCTTCACGCTCGGGTGCGTTTAGGCGGAGGAGATGCGGAGGAGGAGATGCGCTTCCCCGTCTTCGTTCAACCTCGTTCTCGAAGATGTCTTGCGTCGTTGCTTCCGTTCCGCACGCGAGCCCGTCCAGATAGATGTCTGGAGGTTTTTCCGGAGGTCCTCGGAGGCCTCCAGAGGTGTCCCTGGATGGTTCTCGAGGCCCAGAAACAACCAAGTCCAGAACCTAGATTCTCGATCCCCTGCCTCATTACTTGCGCGACTCAGATAATGATGATGATGACGATGCTGATGATGACGATGATGATGACGATGAGGATGCTGATGATGTTGATGATGATGCTGATGCTGATGACGATGATTTCGATGAAGATGACGATGGCTATGCTGATGATGACGATGATGACGATGATGACGGTGATAACGATGAAGATTACGATGATGACGATGACGATGACGATGATGACGATGATGATGATGATGATGATGATGATGATGATGATGATGATGATGATATTGTTGATGATGATGATGCTGATGAATATGATGATTACGATGAAGTTCACGATGAGGACAGGGATGATGATGATGACGATGATGATGATGCTGCTGATGCTGATGATGATGCTGACGATGATGATGATAATGATGCTTATGACGATGATGATGACGATGATGATGATGCTGATGCTGATGATGACGATGATGACGATAATGACGACGATGACGATGAACATGACGTTGATGACGATGACGATGACGATGATGATGATGATGATGATGATGATGATGATGATGATGCGGATGATGATGATGATGATGATGATGATAATGATAATAATGACGATGAAGATGACGATGGCTACAAGGTTGATGATGATGACGGAGATGACGATGCTGACGATGAAGATGTTGTTGATGACGATGACGATGATGATGCTGACGATGAAGATGACGATCACGATGATGATGATGATGCGGATGCGGATGCGGGTGCTGATGCTGCTGATGATGCTGACGATGATGATGATCATGCTGTTGATAATGACGATGATGATGCTGATGAGGATGATGATGATGACGATGCTGATGTTGATGATGATGTTGATGATGCTGATGATGATGATGACGATTTTGATGAAGATGGCGATAACTATGACGATGATGATGAAGAAGAAGATGACGAAGATGATGACGATGATGACGATGATGATGACGATGATGACGATGACGATGATGACGATGTTGATGATGATGATGACGACGATGATGATGCTGTTGATAATGACGATGATGATGATAAGGATGATGATGATGATGACGATGCTGATGTTGATGATGATGTTGATGATGCTGATGATGATGATTTTGATTAAGATGGCGATAACTATGACGATGATGCTGATGGTGATGATGAAAAATAATAAGATGACGAAGATGATGACGATGATGACGATGAAGATGCTGATGATGACGATGACGATGATGACGATGCTGATGATGACGATGATGATGAAGATGAAGATGACGATGACGACGACGATGTTGCTGATGCTGATGCGGATGCTGCTGATAATGCTGATGATGATGACGTCGATGAGGATGATGATGATGATGATGATGATGATGGTACTGTTGATGATGATGATGATGATGATGATGATGATGATGATGCTGATGAATCTGATGATGACGATAAAGTTCACGATGATGACAGGGACGATGATGCTGATGCTGATGCCGATGCTGATGCTACTGATGCTGCTGCTGATGATGCTGACGATGATGATGCTGATGATAATTTATAACGACGATGATGATGAGGATGATGATGATGATGATGATGATGATGATGGTGACGAGGCTGATGTTGATGATGATGTTGATGATGCTGATGATGATATTGATGAAGTTGGCGATAACTATGACGGTGATGATGATGAATAGAAAGGTGACGAAGATGATGACGATGATGACGATGAAGATGACGATGATGAGGATGATGGTGATGACGATGTTGATGCTGACGACGATGATGATGAAGATCAAGATGACGATGACGACGACGATGTTGCTGATGCTGATACGGATACTGCTGCTGCTGATAATGCTGATGATGACGTCGATGATGATGATGAAGATGATGATGATGATGATGATGCTGATGCTAATGATGGTCATGATGCTGATGATGACGATGATGATGATGATGACGATGATGACGGTGATGATGATTGTGATGATGATGATGATGATGATTACAGTGATGATGTTGATGATGATGTTGATGATGATGCTGATGCTGCCGATGATGATGATGCTGGTTTTGATGAATATGACGATGACTATGCTGATGCTGATGATGCTGATGATGATGATGATGACGATGACGATGCTGAACATGACGACGACGATGATGACGATGACAATGATGATGATGATGATGATGATGATGATGATGATGATGATGTTGAGGATGCTGTTCCTAAACATGATGATGACGCTGACGATGCAGATGATGATGATAATGATGATGACGATGCTAATGATACCGATGCTGATGCTGAGGCTGATGCTGATGCTGCTTATGACCATGATGCTGATGATGACGATGATGATGCTGCTGATGACGATACTGATGCTGCTGATGATGACGGTGATGATCACGATGATTATCACGATGATGACGATCATGATGATTACGATGAGGATGATGATGACGATTATCATGCTGACGATAATTTTGATGCTGATGATGATAATGATGAGGGCTTTGATGACGACGACGATGACTATGATGATGATGATGATGGTAATGATGCCGGCGATGATGCTGATGCTGCTGATGACGATGATGATGCTGATGATGACGATGATGATAATAATGATGATGACGATGAGGATGATGATGATGATGATGACGATGACGATGTTGATGATGTTTTGGATGATGATGCTGATGTTGATGATGATGGTAATGATGATGATGATGATGATGATGATGATGATGATGATGGTTTTGATGACGATGGTGATGACGATGATGATGATGGTGATGCTGATGCTGGTGATGATGATGATGATGATGCTGATGACGGTGGTGACGATAATGACGATGAAGATGACGATGATGACGATGAGGATGATGATTATGATGCTGATGCCGATGATGATTATGAAGGTGGAGACGATGATTATGACGAGGTCGATGATGCTGATGCTGATGCTGATGATGATGATGCTGACGTTGATGATGATGATGCTGCTGATGACGATGATGTTGATGATGATGACGGTGATGATGATGAAGACGGTGATGCTGATGACGACGATGATGATGATGACGGTGAGGATGATGATGATGAGGTTGATGATGTTGATGCTGATGCTGACGATGATGATGATGCTGATGCTGATGATGATGATGATGATGGTGAAGGTGACGATGATTATGATGAACGATGAGGATTGCGATGATGACAATGATGTCGATGAGAATGACGATGATGACGATGACGATGCTGATGCTGATGTTGACGATGAAGATGCCGATGATGACGATGATGATGTTGCTGATGCTGATGCTGATACTGCTGCTGCTGCTGATGATGATGATTATTATAATGATGATGATGATGATGATGATGATGATGATGATGATGATGATGATGATGATGATGATGATGATGATGATGATGATGGTGATGATGATGATGATGATGATGATGATGATGATGATGATGCTGATGGTGCTGATGACGATGATGCTGGTGATTCTGATGATGACGATGATGATGACGACGATCATGCTGACGACGATGATGCTGATTATGATGATGATCCTCGTCCTCGTCCTCCTCCTCCTTTTCCTCCTCCTCCTCCTCCCTCCTCCCTCCTCCTCCTCCCCCCCTCTCCCTCCTCGCCGCTCGCTGCCCGCGAACCTCGAGCCAGCCCCCGCGGAGAGCGCCTCAGGAGTTCGCCAAGTTCGGCGCCATCACCTCCATGGAGGTGCGCGAG